AAGGTTTCAGTTAGATTCACTTTTGGTGAGACTATTCACAGATGACATTATAACCTATCTATATCATCAAGAAACAATCAGATTGTTCATGAAATTGAAATTTTACAAAATATGAGGGTGGTATGCTCTCAATGACAGACCAATCCCAAACCTGCTCTCCCTCTTTCTCCCCAGCAGCAGTTCCCTGAGTGAGATCCTGTGTGTTATACTTATGGAAATAGCAGCATTTTAGGTGTCTTGTTAGAGCTGTGTCTGAGTAGAAATCTCAGTTTTTTGCATGTGATTTTCTCAGGGGCTGAGGAGTCATCTTAGTAGTGTTAATTTAGAAAAAAAAAAACAAACCAGTGCTGGAAAGTGTTTCTTCTCCTATGCCATCCACGTGAAGTTCTTAGGACTGTAGGCCTAATGCCAGGATTAAAAGGGAGATGAACCTTCCTGACCTATTAACACTGAGCACAAGTCAGGCCAAGCCCTGCAGCTCACTGACGGTCCACAAACCTGTGAAAGCACTGTAGGCTCAATCCTTGCTGTCTACATTGACTGCTCCCATGGAGACCCTTGTGTGGAATCATGAATTTCTACAGTTTGACTGTGTGGAATGCCTGGGTGGTGCAAGCAGCAATGAACTCAGTTGCTAACAGAAAAGCAGATCTTTGAAATCTGCCCAGAAGTGCCTTGGAAGAAAGGCCTGGCAATCTACTTCCAAAATATAGGCTTTGAAAACCCTGTGAAGCACAGTTCTATTCTGATAGACTTGAGAAGCCCATGAATTTTGAGGGGGCTCCATAGTAACTGGCTGTATTGGCATGTTTGCATAGATGCTGTTCTCACCTACTGCAGTCTTCACTGTCCCTCAAAATCTCCTTTTGCAAAATGGATGACCCTGGAGGACATTCTGCTGAGTGAAATATCTCAGTCACAAAAGGACAAATATTGCATAGGGCCACTGTTGTAAAACGGGACTGACATCATGGTTGAGAGAAGACAGACAAGGAGGGGAGGAATGATGTATATTGCATTGAAACAGATGAGGGAGAGAACTGTTTAATAGGAATATATAAATGGGTATTCTTGTCACTACAGAAGTCCAGAGTGAAGGCTGCATAGTGGAGTGGAACTGGGGAGGGAGGGATTGTACAACAATGAAAGAGTTGTTTTGTTTTGTTTTTAAGAAGAGTGAATTGGGGAGAGGGGGTGGGTAGGGAGAAAAGTACAACAATGAATGACTGGAAACTCTAAGTCTATAAATTTTCATTAAATTAATTTTTAAAACCATTCATAAAAAAAAAGAAGCCACAGACTTGATGATGTGTTCAATGACAGAAGTCTAAGACCTCTCCTCCTGTGCCAGTCAGATCCGATTTGATGGTACACACATAAAAAATAAAAAAAAATAAAAAATAAATAAAAGCAGTCTAAGACCCATTCAATAGCCAGGCCTGAGACCCTTGAGGATCCCAGGCTTCTTGAGCTCTCTGGAGGCCATGCGGATAGGTTGTATCATTATTTCACTGAGAACATTGAGGTGAGCCAACAAGAGATTTATCCAAGATTGTCTTCCCTTTGACATGTCCCACCTTTCTCCATCTTGCCTCTTCTGCTGCCTCTATGGCAGGCATCTCCCTCCCCTCTGTGGAGCTGTCCTTGTCCCTCATGGGCAGGTCTAATGTCTTGCTATCATCTCAGACACATCTTAAAGAAAAATAAATCCTCATTGTCCATTTTCCCAAGGTTGCCAAAGGCAGCACCACCCTTCTTCACCCTGAAGCTAAAAATGAAACATTAGCTATGACTCATTCTTCCCATCCAACCAGTCCCAGGTTCTAAGAGTTTTCTGTGGCAATCCCTTCATTAACTTACCTTCCTACAGCTGTCATCCTGACCTGACTACCATCATCCCTAAATGGATACCCTCCTTAACCCTCATCCTCCAGCCCATCTCATTCTTCTTCCAAGACCATGCTTCTGGAAAAACTCACCAAGTTCTCCAGCATACAATTTAAGCCTTCTCTCTCTTTCAACTCCATCTTTCTGTTCCATTTCTCCCAGATCCAGATGTCCCAAAAGCCTGCACCTTACTGCCTTCTTGAAAACAATAGACATACCACATGCCAGAAGTTTTACAGTTTGTCTTTAACCTTTAGGAGTTATTGTCCTTTTTACAGGTGAGGAAAACTGAGGCCACACACATCACACTGTTTTTATGTAGCAAAGCTGGGATTTAACATTGGGATTTAAAGCCTTTTCCTCCCTGTGTACTGCTTGTTTCCTGTTGTACCCATTCCTGCCTCTGTAAGGAGACAATGCTCTTTGTTGTAATACCCTCTCTCCTACGCCTGGTTTCTCAAATGCTCTAAACCACAGCTCTACCACGAGGCTTTTCTGATGATTTCAGCCCACACTCCTCACCTTCTTAACTTTTCTGGCATGAATCTCAGTCCTGTGCAATTTAGTACTTACAGACTGTCCTCCAGGGTTGGTTCTCAAGCCCTGGGGGTGCAGAAGTTAAGCGCTGGGCTGCCAACCAAAAGGTCAGTTGTTTCAACTCACCAGCTACTTCTTGAGGGAAGGATGTGTCGGCCCGCCTTCATGGAGATTACAGCCTTGGAAACTCTACTGAGCAGTTTCACTCTGTCCTATAAAATCACTGTCAGTAAAAATCTGCTCAGCAGTAATGGGTTCACATAGTTCTCTAGTTATTTTACATTCCTTGTTCCCCAGGGAGCCTGTGCAAGTCTGGGTTAAAAGATGCAATTTCCACTTCATTCTCATCCTTCCAGGCACGAGACACAAAACTGAGCACACAGAAATACTCGATAGGGTTGACCTGATTTCTCAGGAAGAAGGCACGGTCTCTACGTTCCCAACACTAACTGTACTCCATCCAGTCCCTCCCATTTGTTGCTATGTACTGTGCAATCAGAACCAACTCATAGCTGACCCTCCAGTGGGTTTTCAGAAGCAGTAAATCACACAGGAGGAGATTGCCCACCTTTCTCCTGTGGAGCAGCTGGTCAATTCAAACCAACTGCCTTTGGGTTGGCAATTCCTTGCCACTAGGCCACCAGAGCTCCCTGTCCCTCTCATATTATTGTTGTTCGCCATCAAATCAAAATTGACCCGTAGCTGACTGCAGGTATTCAGAGGCTATAGATTGCCTGGGAGGAGATTCTCCACCTTTATTCTGTGGAACAGCTGGTGAATTTGAACTTTGCATCTTTGTGTTAGTACCACAATTCCTTACCACTGAGCCACCAGAGCTTCCTGTGGCTCACACAGTGTGGTAAGACACGCATTCTCTCTCTCTCCCTCTGTCACACACATATTCAATCATAAGCTTCTCATACCTGAAATAGCTTATCAAGTCAGAACACTACTGATGGAATCCTTAGCAACAGCTTCCACATGGATTGGCGAAGCCATGAGAGTCAGTGGGACTCCCTGGGACTAATTAAATCCTTGATATTGAGTGGTAACAGAGAGTCTCTGTTGGTTAGGGGGATTCGATGTCTCAATTCTAATTCTCGTCCTGAAATGTTTTAGTCTCTATAGGGAAGTACCACAGCGGTGCAATGAAATGTGTGAGGTGTGATGAAGACCCCTCCTGTTCAGGCCCCAAGCCACTGTACCCCCAGAAAGCACTCCCATGGTGGTCTGCATGGCTAATGTCTCTGAAGCTATGTGTTACACAATGCTGGTTCCCATATACTTTCCACACTCCAAGTTCCAAAACAGCTCTCTGCCCTGACTCAATCCAAAGCTGTTAGTCATTGGGAGTTGGATATTGTCATCTCAAATTTTTCATTTTAAAGTGGACGGAAGCGCATACATACTTTAAACACTGAGAATTATCTTTCTGGACCTCAGATCCATTTTCTCCTGAAGACAGGAGGCAGCATTACACTTTAGGGGTCCGTGTGAGGGTGCTGACCAAGAGTTAAAGGGTCAGTGATTTAAAAAAGCCTCAAACTCATTGCTGGAATCGGAAGAGAGTCCTAGCTGACTGACACCTCGGGCCGCTCTCCCCATTTGGGAAGAGATTGCTGGTCTTTCTCCCTGTGGGCCACAGGAGGATTCGAACTGCCAGAGATGCAACACAAAACTCCCTAGTCATCAGCCACCATGAAAGGGTCAATGAAGAGCTCAGGGAAGAGAGGTGAGGTGGTGGGTGGGGCCTGTGAAATCACACTTCCTATCCTTTACAATTTTGCCTGCAGCAGTCTTAGCACACAAATAAACATCTTAGCACACAAATAAACATGTGCATAAGCAAAGGAGTTCTTAGGTAAGAAGAGCAAATAAATAAATTGTGTAACTTATTACACATACCACAGGGACACCGAGAGTGAAAGACCTTTGGGGTATGTGTGTGTATGTATGTGTTGGTGGTGGGCGTGGAGGTGTGGAGTGTGTGTGTTTGTGTCTCCCCTAAACAAACATCACACAGGGTGGCCCTTCCTGCAGGTGACATTGTCCTGTTGGAGGGAGACAGCATTTAACTCCCTCACTGCTACTGCGTTTCAGGAGGCAGCCGCCCCACCGATCACTATCACCTGGGGTTTTGCAACCATATGAGTGGAGACTGAGTGAGGATTGAGCAACTCCCGCCTCCTTGGGCCTGGCCTTGCAGGAGCGCGGTGATCACTCCTGAGTGCAGGAAGCTGCGGCGAGGGCGGCGGGCTGTGCCCAGGATGATGGATCTGGCCAGGCAATGAAGGCACAGGCCGACTGCACCCGCACCCTGCTCGCGCATCCAGGGTGACTTTCTACGACACGTCCCTGAGCTCTTCACCAACCTCTGAAATTGTTCCCTGGCGCAGCTTAACACGCCTTGGCAGCCACTGCTTGAGCCACCTGCGGTGCCACGGCCGACCTGCATTCCAGGCTGAGGGCCTGGCAGAGACGCTTGGCAGCAAGTCCCAACACGGAGTCACAGGCCTGAGCCGGCAGCCCAGCAAGGAACAAAACTTCCTTCGCATCACAGTCCCAGGCCTGAGGAGATGGATGAGCAGTTGTTCAAGGGGGACCCAGACACCCCTCACTCCTTCTCCTTCTCGGGCAGCGGCTTTCTCTCCTTCTACCAGTGTGGAGCTGTGGACGCTCTGCGGGACCTGGCCCCCAGGATGCTGGAAACGGCCCATCGCTTTGCTGGGACGTCAGCCGGTGCGGTGGTTGCAGCCCTGGTTGTCTGTGGGATTGAAACGGGTAAGAGTTCTGTTTTGGGCTCTGCAAGTATCCCTTTCCCCTGGGTCTCTCTGGAGGGATGCTTTGGGGAACCAAGCCAGCTTTTCTGGGTGGCAGAAAAAGAACTGAGACCGATACGATTGGGAGCTCCCTGGGCTCTGTGTCTGGGGCCACCATGTCGAGTTGGACGCTTCTGCCCATCTTGTCGCCCCCAATGCCTATATCTGTGAGGATGACTCCGCAGGCCTGCGGTAAGGTCCTGGTGAGATCCAAGGGGAAGGTGCTACAGTCCTCTCTCAAACATCTGGTGTCAGAAGTTACACCCAGACTCAGCCACAGATTCAAGTCAGTGTTGTTTCTGCCAGGCCTGTGAAAATGCAGATCCTACTGGGAGGAGCAAACACTTTAAGTCCTTAACTCCTTGGGGAGATGGACTTGTTAAAATAGCTTCCAGCTGGTTGGAAAGATAGAAGCAGATGGAGACTTGGTGGTGAAAGACCAAAAAGGAGAGAGCGGAGAATATGCAAGATCTTATTTTATATTCTGTAGGCCAGTGGGAAGGATGCTGCAGGCAGCTGACCTTGGTCATAAGGAGAGGAGGCCACTCTGTGCAGGAGAGCAGACTCTTCCCAGAGGCCCAAGAGAGCCTGCACCTGGCACTTGAGCTGCCCTGCCACCACCAGGGCTACTCTGAGATGTGTTCTCTTATTTGCAGAGCACTAGTCTGTGCCAGATTTGCCTTGCTTTCTTGGAGCAGAAATTGTAGAGAGAGGAGAGTTTCAAACCTGTAGCCTTACAATGAGACATCAGGAAATGATCTATAAAACAATCTGGAGGAAAGGGGAGCTCTGGTGGCTTAGCGGTAAAGAATTGCACTGACAGACTAAAGATATGAAGTTCAAACCCACCAGTTGCTCTGCAGGAGAAAGATGGGCAATATCTTTCCGCGTGATTTATTGCTTCAGGGTCAGCCGTTTGAAAATCTGGGGAAGAATATCCAGATGGAGGAGCAGCCAGGAGGCCAGGGGGACCAGAGAGCAGTGAGTGAGGAGGCGGAGATGGAAGAAGAGGTATGGGAGGCAAAGGAGAGATCATGACACCCCTAGGACGTATAGTCAAAGGCTAGACTATGCATTGCTTTTAATTATGACCGATTCAGAGAAGGGTGAGATAAAGAAATGTAAGACCTGCTCTTTTCCCTCAGGGTCAGGTTTATGGGCTGTATCCACGTCACCTACTTCATTCATTTTAACTGCATGTTTATATAGTAGTAACTAGTACTTACTATATAATCATGTACTCTTCTTAGCTCTTAGAATATTGGCTCTTTTATTCTGGACCACATACTCTCTGAGGTGAAAACTATTATTATATTCATTTTCCAGAGAAATAAACTGAGTCACAGAAAGATTAAATAATATATCCTTGTTCATACAAACAACACTTGGTAAAGCTGGAATGTGAATCTTATCCTCTGAACACATAGTTTGCCTCTTGGGAAAGCACTACCAGGTAGGCAAAGATGCTTGTTGTATAGATAGTGGGGTCTGGAAATTTTCCCTGGGTAGATGGAATATGTAGGCTAATGAACCGAGGAGAGAATACGAGAGCGGGCCATGCGAAGATCTAAGGGAGAGCATTCCACATAAAGGGAAAAGAAACCTAAGATTAAGAGATAGAACTATGCCTCCTTTCTCCCAGGCTCTCCTCCAACCCCTGGAGAGTAGACCGTATTGCAGAGGGTCAAGGACTGCAGCCTTCAATATGGACTGAGGCTCAATGTCCAGAAGACAAAAATTCTCACCACTGGACCAATCGGTAGCATCAGGATGGATGGTGAAGAGATTGAGATTGTTCACAGCTTCAGTTTGCTTGGCTCCAAGGTCAACACTCTTGGCACCAGTAGCCAGGAAATAAAAAAACGTATTGCGATGGGAAAGTCTGTGGTTAGGGACCTCTCTAAAGTACTCAAGAGCAACGGTGTCTCTTTGGAGACTAAGGTGCGCCTGATACAGGCCATGGTTTTTGCAATCACTTGTTATGCATCAGAGAGTTGGACAATGACTAGGGAGGATAGAAGGAGAATTGACGCCTTTGAGCTGTGGTGCTGGAGAATAGTATTGAATGTACCATGGACTGCCAAGAAAACTAATAGATTCATCCTAGAGAGGGTTAAGCCAGGCTGCTCCTTGGAGGCAAGGATTCTGGGGCTTCGTCTGACATACTTTGGGCATGTTGTAAGGAGAGACAGGTCTTTAGAGAGGGACATCATGCTGGGTAGAGTGGAGGGACAGCGCAGGAGGGGAAGACACTCTAAGAGGTGGATTGATTCAGTGACTGGGGTAATCGGGATGGATGTGTCAGAGGCACTGAGATTGGCACAGGATAGAGCAAGGTTTAGGGCTGTTGTACATAGGGTCGCTATGAGTCGCAAGCGACTCGACGGCACATAACAACAACAACATTTTTAAATTGAGATTTTAATGAATGTTTCTAGATAATTTGGATTTCCATTCATTCATTGTTGCACTGATTATTTCTTTTTTAATAAAATTTTTATTTTATACTGGTTTACTGACAAATTTCGTATACATTGGTTTTCACCTTGGACCTTTCCGATTTCCTTTACCCACCCCTCCCTCTAGCCATCAAATTGTGTGACCCCGTAATTATTCCCCTGCCCATTGTCACCCCTCTGCTCCTACCCTACCCCCTTGGATCCTCATACACGTTTCACTAGTTATCTTTCTGTTTCTACAATAATGGTCTCATACAGTACTTGTCCTTATGGGACTGAGTTAGTTCACTCAACATAATGCTCTCCAATCCCTCCCAAGTTAGGTGGTAATTTACAAAATCATTGCTCCTGTGTGCTGCATAGTATTCCACCATGTGAATGTACCATAATTTCTCAATCTATTTGATTGTGGTTGGACATTTGGGCTGTTTCCATGTTCTTATGATGGTGAATAATGCTGATATGAACATTGATGTACAGATCTCTTCTTATGCCTCAGTTATCATTTTCTTGAGAAAGCAGTGGAATAGCTGGGTCATACAGAATTTCTATGTTCAGCTTTTTGAGGAAACACCAAACTGCCATCCAGAGTGGTTGTACCTATTTACAATCCCACTAACAATGTATAAGAGTTCCTATCTCTCCAGAGCCTTTTCAGCATTTATTATTTGCTGTCCTGTTAAACTTTGCCACTGTTACAGGGATGAGATGGTATTTCATTGTGGTTTTGATTTACATCTCTCTTTTTTTTTTTGCCAGTGGTTTAGAGTATTTATTTATTCATGTGTCTGTTGGCCATCCAAATATCTCTGTGAAAATTCTTCCCATATCTTTTGCCTATTTTGCAATTGTCTGATCAGTCTTTTTCTTGTGGAGGCCCTGCAGGATTCTATAAACTTTTGACATGAAACCCTTGTCTGAAATGGTATTGCTAAGTATTTTTTCCCCAGGCAGTAGGTTTTCTTTTCACTTTGTTGGAAAATATTTTTGATGCACACAGGGATTTAATCTTTAGAGGGTCCCAGTCATCAATTTTATCCTCTTCAGATTGTACATTTCTGGCTGTACTTGGCAGTCTCTTTATACCATAGATTAGTCCATCTAAGCTTGAACCCAGTTTATCTCTGATGAACTTTATGGTTTTGGGCTTTACTTCCAGCTGTGAGATATGGGTCCTCTTTCAGTTTTCTGCTGGTAGCAGTTTTGCCAGCACCATCTGTTGAAGAGGTTGTCATTTCCCCATTTGATAGGTTTTATTCCCCATGTTCCCTATGTTTCCAGGCTCTTTTTACCACTTTCTATTTGCTATTCTGTCACCGACCACCCGACTACGGTCGTGACAAGAAACTCAAGGGGTTTCTTGGTGAAGAGCAGGTGAGGGACGAAG